CCAACAAGGCAATTCGAATCGTGGAGTTCCAAAGTACAATTCAAGAGAATACGCTACACGAAGTTGCTCGGTCCATTACCTGTTAATTTGTGAGGGACATAATGTGGGTTTGACTTGGTGTTTTCACGGCGGTGAGTCTGAAGACGGCTTGTTGTGCTGTGTAGTCTGGTAGACGTTTACCGACGTCGGTAAAATTCTACCAGACTACACGGCGCAACAACCCAGAAGACAGCTATCATCATAATGTGGGTTATTATACCAGTAAAATTAATTGGAATGAACAATTAATACACGGTCGTACTAAATTAATTACTGACATTGTTCCATTGGTAAGATATAAGCCTTTCAGAAGTTGTTCAGATGTAGGAGTATATCAATTACCTACCTATCTTATTCAGCGTCATGTTCAAAATTAACATTTTTCTTTGTATGGGGTTTAAACTCCGAAGAAACAAGATATACTGAAAATGCTTAAGAATAATTGGTTATAAGGATATTTGGACCTAACATATTAGAAGTAACAGGAGGTCACAGTAAATTTTACAAATAGGAGATTTATTTACTGTTACGACTACTAGATTTTCAATAATAACTCCGCTCCTTGGAGTAAATTTTGTTCAAAGAAGGTTATGATTTGTTAACAAAACCGGAATGTATTCGGTTCGATGTCTTAAAAACAGTCTGAAGGTAGCAATCATTGTTCCTCTGGTTCGTATACTCGTTTCGTGAGAGCGGGAGACTGTCAAGGGGAATTAGAATCACTCATTTGAAACGAATATTTCGAAACTCACTAATATCGTAGAAGCTAAGAATCACTCATTTGAAACGAATATTTCTAAACTCACTAATATCGTACAAGCTTTGATATTAATTTAATTAAAATAACTGCTTGCAGAAGAATAACCAGAGGCTTTAGAAATGCTTGTGTTCTACTCAAATTATACAACGCCTGTGTTACAGTCTATACAGTGCGTCAAATATCAGACTCTTTGTTTTCTGAGGGCCGCAAAAAAGAGTTGGCCATTGCTGGGAACATTGCTTTTGTGTGAAAGTCATGAACACCGTTCACTTCATTTTTTCTTGATTTACGCGCTAAATGGATTAGAAGAAACACATAAACGTGTTATTTTATCTCCTCCAAATCAAAGGCAGTGTTTCAATGTTGCAACGTGGGTAGTGTTTGCATTAAAATAAGTTTATCGCAGTGTGAGTAAGCTAACCGATATTTTTTTCCAGATCGTCACTTTGTTGGCAACCCTGACGGCCTCTACGCTTGCCACACCAATCTCAATATACGACCACTACGCACCGGTTAAGGTGGCGGTAGCTCCTGCACCCGCATTGGCCATCGCTCACCATGGAGCCGTCGAGATCGAACACTATGTAAGTGCTCCAGTTCGACATGCAACAACTGTACGTTCTCGCAAGATTTGCATTAATGAATGCGAATATTGGCAGACACGGAGCCTATTTCAATTCGTGAGCCACTAAAGACAAAATTTGGGGTGAGAATTATGTCATTGACAACAACTCCAAATTTAAACGTTTTAATTACCTACGGTCGGTAATAACAACACGAGGGACGTACAAACTTGTGAGGTGGAAACGAAACTAGCGCCACTTGATAGAGAATCGGGAAATGATGTAAACTGCAGCTTCTTAAGGTACATTTTTATGTAGAACGTAAAGAAAATTACGGTTGCATGAAACGTGTATGTAGGTTAGATTTGAAGACAGTAGGAAATAGTTCATAACTCAACAATTAGGGACGTTGTGACGGTGGGAATTTGTTGTTATGTGTAACAAATTTAACTTACAAAAGATCTGAACTTAAGTTAAGTAACAATTTATTCCCGAGCAGAGACAAGAGATCGTACTAATCACCACGATAAGAAGTTGCAACATATTAAAAACTACAATCAATACAAAATTCCAAACAACGAGCGTTTGATCAAATTAACAACTCCGCACAAGCCAAACACACTTGGCCCATGAGCCAAGTAGCATCTCTCTATATAAAGATTCCCGTCTTCTGGGTTGTTGCACTGTGTAGTCTGGTCGATGTTAACCAACGTTTCAGAGGTCATACTGCCTCCGTCATCAGGACGATGGGTATTCATCGTCCTGATGACTGAGGCAGTATGACCTCTGAAACGTTGGTTAACATCGACCAGACTACACAGTGCAACAACCCAGAAGACGGAAATCTTCATACTCACCGCTGTGAAAACCTCAAATCCTACATCTCTCTATATAGTTTACCCAAGAATTTTACGCCATTATGGACACATAATTTATAATTTTTAAAATTAAATACTTGGTTTAATTAGTGAAATGTAACTTTTCTTTTATGAATACGTTCCTCTAAAATTCACAGGTTGAGTAACGTCAAAATATATTTTACGTATTTCACACAGTAAACAGTTTCCTATACATAGAATAAAAACAAAGTCAATTAACATTACCTAAAACTGTGTTATGATCCTCTAAACAATAAGTTTTTGTCAAACGAATTAAATACCAGAGCAGAAAGACCGAACTAAAGGTTTGGAAGCAATTTTCATGTTGTCATAGAGAAATTAATCTACGCAATTTTTATTGAACGAGCTCAAGAAATAAATTCTGCGTACCCGAATTGACTCAGTACGTGACTAGGGATGGAAGAACGGGGTTGAATTCCGGCAAAGACATGGATTTTTTCGTCACCACAGCATCCAGACCGGACCTGGGGCCCACATAGCCTCAAATCCAACGAGCACTAGTAGATCGATTACAGAGAGTAAGTCAGCCGGAACGTGAAGTTTATCTTTATTTTACAATAACAAATAATTTAGCTCATGGGTTGGGTTGCGAGGCTCACGTGTAAATGATCGGAAACTAGTGAATATTTTTTTATTCCTTGAGATT